AGCAGGAGGGAAAGGGGGAAGAAGAGAGAGAGAGAAACATCAATGTGAGAGAGACATATCAACTGGTTGTCACCCTCACGACCCCAAAGGGGACCGGGGACGAACCACAACCAAGGCACATGCCATTATCAGGAACCGAACTTGGGCCTCTGTGGGCCACAGGCCAACGCTCTAACTGCTGAACCAAACTGGCCAGGGCATAAAACAGTTTTTTAAAAGACAGACTATTTTTATGATCTCAGAATAGAGGATTTCTTAAATAAAACAAAGTTAAGTCATGAGTTTAAAAAATTGATAAATTGGAATTCCTAAACATTAAAAGTATCTTAATTCATGAAACAACCCCTAAAGGAAAATTAAGAGCCACAAACTGGAAAAAAATATGTTGCACATAAATTGACAAAGGATGGGTTTCTTGAATATATAACAAAAAATTAAGAAAAATGTTAATAGTAAGATTCCATTATCACAAAATAAAGCTAATAGTGTAAAAAATATTGCCCAAAGCTGATTATATTCTGTTGCTTTTAAGATACAGATCATAGAAACTCACTTTCTGCCATCAAAATATCAATTTTGCTTCTATAATTTATAAACTCCATAACCAATAAGATATGATGTTCGGTTCCGCATGATCAGCAACTTGTGATTAGAAAACTCCCAAGTAGTAGCTTCTACTTTCTGACAAGGTTAATTCATGCACAACTTACAAGAGCGGGGAAGGAAGTGCTGTGTAGGCACACAAGCAGGCAGTGCAGTGTGGGCTGTGGGTAACTGCTTATTTCCATTGTGAAGAGTCAAAGGAGGTAAAAGCAAGGCCCAAAGATGTTCCTGAGACTTTAATTATTGGTATCAAAAGTTAGACACTGGTGTTTAAATTCCCCTATCTTTTCCTTCTCCACTGTTCCCTTGAAAAAAGGATCATACTCCAATCTTTCCTGTCTTGCATCCAGGTATTCCCAGGCTGCCAAAGAAAGTGCTCTTTTCTGATCTGCAGTACTAGAAAACAGCTTCTACCTCCCGGGTACGTGCATTCTCTACCTAAAATTTCTAGCTAATGACCACAGCAAAGTGATTGTGATGTACACGCTCTCTAAATAACAGACGGAATCCTTTTAAGTGGGCTGTGACCAGAATTTCAAATCAGTCTAGAAGGACAATTTCATCACTGAAATCCATCTACTTTGATTCAATTGCAGTTTCATGGTAATTTTTCAGCACCTGCAATATTTTAAAATTTTATGGCATAGATTTTTCAGTGAACAAGAAATGAAGTATCAGATGTTATTAAAAGCCCCTTAACACAGTCAGGAAGAATGAAGGAGGGCACCAGAGAACAAATCAACATAATGACTCTTTTATTTCCTTCATTTAAATGAAATGTCTTTCCCTAATGGGAGAGACATTGTCAATATTAAAATTTGCATTTACACAGAGCTTTCATTTTATACTCTATAATTACTTAGCATGGTACCTATACAATAGACCTGCAGAATGAGTTTATAATTTAAAAATAAATACTGAGACAGATAAGGAAAGGTTAAGCGCAGTGCCCAATACAGCTAACAACACGTGGTTAAGTGCTCTGCAGAAAGACTGATCCGAGTCCCAGTTTTAGCTCCACCACATTATGTAATAGCGTTGTGACCCTGGAGAAGCTACTCAGCTTCCCTGAGCTTCAGTTTTCCTCCTTGATAAAACATGGATAATCGGCCTAACTTGTTAAGAGGATTAAGTGTGGGGGATGGGAAAATGTACAAGGATCTTTATAGTACAATTTCTAACATAGAGTGATTGCAGTGGATGATTATAAAATTAGTGTTATGAGACTTTTTTGGTATAACACTCTTAAATTTCTATAATCTCAGGAGTCACTCTTGTTCTTGACATAAGATCAAGATATTCAAATTACCAAAAAATATTCATTTGAGTACAAAAACATGCTCATAAATAATCATTCTTCATTTGAAACCGAAACAAATAGGTAGACATTAATCAACTGTAACTTCTCAACAGACTCCATAAACCAGATGTGGTAAGGTAACCAAACAGAGCCGAAAGATGAACTCAGGACAGACCACAAGCAATGAGACATACAGTGCTATTTAAAACAGGAAGTATGATATGGGTGTTTTTTTTCCTTAAAAAAAAAAAAAGCATGACATTCAGTATAAGAGAACATTTATTATGTTCCCAATCCTGAAATAAAGACCTTAACTATTTAATTTAACAAAGTTATACTTTATTTTATTTATATATATATATTTGTTGTTGTTGTTGTTCAGATAGAGTGGAAGGGAAAGAGAGGAAGAGAGAGAGAAACATTGACGTGAAAGGGACATATCGACTGGCTGCCACCCACACGACCCAGCCGGGGCCGGGGACAAACTGCAACCGAGGTACATGCCCTTAGCTGGAACCGAACCCGGGTCTCTCTGGACCGCAGGCCGACGCTCTAACCGCTGAGCCAAACTGACCAGGGTCAAAGTTATACTTTAAATACAGTAATATATTAGACCCTCACAATTTAAGATATGCATAATTCATGGTGGATTATGTAGGACTAGTAAAACTAAAAATTATAACAACACTGGCTATCATGTAGTCAAGTCAATTATGCCCAAAGTATTTTGTACAGGTTTTCTTATTTAGCCTTCACAATAGAACAGTAGAGAAGGAAAAAACAAAAAACAAATGGTTATCCCCATAAAAATGAATTGACTAACACTCAGGAAGATTATGTAAATTGTCCATGGTTACAGTCAGTAAATGACAGAGCAGAGATTTGAACCCAGGATAATTATGTCTTCCTTTCCAGGCAGAACATTATTAGGACACTGAACTAAACGACTTTGAAAATGACTTGTTTATCTAGTATTTAAGATTACTTTTTCTAATGGGTTAATACACCCGAGGGTATTAAGCTCCAAGCCCCTGCTCCTTTCAGCATCTCTCCAACCCTTACTCCCTTTGGGAAGGAAAGCAAGGAACGAAGAAATAGAAAGGAAAAGAGAATTGCTTCAAGTTAAATCTTTCAGATACAAAGGGGTGATCTGCAGGTAATGGCACGAACAAGAAAGTGAGAGCATGAGGAAAGGAAAGAATTTAGATTGGCCATTAAAGAAACACCTCCTGGAAACAAGCACCCAGACACTGGGACACGTTATCAAACAGCATCATGAAGGGTAAACTGAAGAAAACACAACCCTGTGAAGGGCTGTCAACACACAAATAGTGTCAACATACATGAAGATGGGGAAGGACAAATATAGCCTACTTGGCTCAGCCTCACTTATCATTTAAAATAGAAAAGAAAAAACAGAAAGTGGTAAAATAAGCCTGTCAGCAGCAGTCAGGAGATCGCACAATGATTCTTCCCAAACACAAGTTAGCAAAATGCGAACCTACATTTCTCAGAGGACTCGTCAATACACAGTACCATTTTACATTTTCCTTCAATACATTATCCATTAAGACAGAGTATCTCTATTTCCTCTGCAAATTCATATTCATACTAGTAAAATAAAACCCAAATTTTGGCCCTGGCCGGTTTGGCTCAGCGGTTAGAGCGTCGGCCTGCGGTCCGGAGAGACCCGGGTTCGGTTCCCACTAAGGGCATGTACCTCGGTTGCAGTTTGTCCCCGGCTCTGGTTGGTCGTGCGGGTGGCAGCCACTCGATGTGTCCCTTTCACGTCGATGTTTCTCTCTCTCTCTCTCTCTTCCTCTCTCTCCCTCCCACTCTATCTGTACAAAAAAATGGAAAAATGTCCTCGGGTGAGGATAAAAAAAAAACAAAAACAAAAACAAAACCCAAATTTTGTTAGTTTCTTAAGTATGTGTTGGGAGAACTTTGAATGAAAAACATCACCAAGGTAACTTCCTTCTGGGATTAAAAACAAAACAAAAATACATAACTCTGGTGGAATTATTAGACCCAGGAAGAGTCACGTCTGTTTCATGGCTGCATCCCTTCTCTCACCACGAGAAATCACCCATAGGCTAGATACAAAGTTGATTGCCTCAGGACAGCGATCTTCAACTTGTGTGTCATAGGGACTTTTTTTTTAATCCTCACCTGAGGACATTTTTCCATTTTTTTGTTCAGATAGAGTGGGAGGGAGAGAGAGGAAGAGAGAGAGAGAGAGAAACATTGATGTGAAAGTGGCTACCACCCACACGACCCAAGCAGGGCCAGGGACAAACTGCAACCGAGGTACATGCCCTTAGCGGGAACCGAACCCAGGTCTCTCGGGATCGCAGGCCAACACTCTAACTGCTGAGCCAAACCGGCCAGGGCATTGTGTGTCACAGGAATTTTTAAAACATGCAATACCTGACTATTTAGTCAGGGACACTGACCTCTTTTCCCTTAGATTATCAAATAAAAAATATATACGTCATCCAACACAACAATAGCTGTCCCATGTGAATGAATCAAAATTACATCTTTATGTCAGATCGGCAAAAAATATATACATTTTCTGGTGTGTTGCAGAGTTTTAGTGATTAGCTTGTGTGCCATGAGATGAAAAAGGCTGAAAATTGCTGCTTCAGGAAGCTGCAGAATCCTAACAATTCTGTGTCTCCCTTTCCAATGTCAGCTGAGTTTTGACGTGAACCTTTACTAATCTGTAAAAAATGAGAAGTCTACATGTTCCTGATAGTAACAGGATTCTCTTACTTTCATTATGAAAAAAGTATGTTTCTTCTAGAATAATTATGTATTATCAGGAAAGGGGGGGATTTTCCATTAAGAAACAGACTCAAGTCAGCCATGTCACTGCTTTTATAGTCTTTCCTGTTTTTCTCCATGGCCACTGCCACTCTAAAGAGATGTAATGTCTCAGCCTCAAGTCCCACCTCCACCTGTTTCTTTTACACAAAACAGAAAAGACTTCTGACCATGAATTATTGGTTCTAATAAAATATCCCATAGAAAGAGAGCGGATGGGAGCACAACTACTTGTTTCTGAGAAATTTAAAATTGAGAGAAGACCTACCTTGTGAGTAGAGAAGAATCTGCATCTCTAAAAGAACACAGGTGAACACCTGTACCAGGTTCTCCAATCCCAGGAGCTCGAAAGCCTCTCGAAGAGGATAATCAGAGAGGGGGAGTTCATTGGGCCCAGGCCTCTGGCATATGACGGGTTCATAAACACCATAAAATTTCAGCGATCTCCCTGGGGGTGGAAGGGGTACCTCATAGAGAATATTGTGGATGTAGCTCTCCAGCGGCAAGGGAGGTGGCTGCTGTGAGGTAACAGCCTTGTAAAGCTGGATAAGGAACTTCTTGCAGGCCTGCATGAAAGGCAGTGGTGTGATCAAACATATACTCTTGGAAACATACAGGGTGTCTCTGCTGATGTCATAGGAGTTGTATCGCTGGAGTTTCAGTAGGGAAGTTGTGTCTCCCTCGTCAGTGCTGCTTGCCAGCGAGTCCATGCTGCAGGAGGAGGAAGCGCAGACGCTGCTGCAAAGCTCCGCGTTATGCATCTGGTACAGCGTCTGCATTGCTGTGCAGATTTGCTTACTTGTAACTTCTTCATAAAAAGTAAGAACAAAACCATAGGTACGAGAACCATCTTCCCGGGTAATTATAAATGAGTGGAACTGAGGGTCTCTGTTGTCAGTCTGTGTTCTGAAAGACAGCCCTTTCGGCATGCACAACTGTGGAGGAAAGGGGGAAAGCATCAGACTGCAGTACCTGAATAACTTCAAACCAGGAAAAAATGTTGGCAAACCTCTCTCCACACTTGTGACCTTCAGCAAACCACATAACTTCTCTGAGCCACAGTTTCTTTATCTACAACCTTTGCTACATCAGTGACTTGAAGACAAAATACACAAGGGCACTTTACAAATATTTAATATTTAAGTACTATTTTTCCAGAAGTGATGATAATGTTTCAAAGGAATAGGGAAATAGGTGAAGGCTCATTTGATCAATGGAAAAATGTTAAACATGGAATAAGTTATTTTCTCTATTTTGGACAATGTGATACTTCATCCTCGAAAACCAAACTTTGAAAGTGGAATGATTTTTGCTTTACTGAAGCACAAGGGTACATTTTAGATTATTTCCAGTAGAGATTATGCTCTAGATCTTGGGAACTAACCAGAATTCAGTCAATTTTGGGAATAAAATTACCTGAGGAATTAAAGATGTATTTACAATACTTAAATGCATGATAAATTAGAAATGATTTTTTAAAATTCTTCTAAAAACATTTAAAATAAAATAAAAGAAATTACAGAAAATTTGAAATATGCTAAGGAAAACAGAACTTATAATTCAACTACCCAAACATGATCATTATTAATTTTTATATATTCCTTTTTACTTTTATATTACAATATGCTTTCTGCATAGAAACAATTTTATCATACATTATTATGTTACAGTTTTCTTTTTCTAGGTTCATCAATCTGGTGTAAAATTGAGATGTTCTCCCAAATCCATCTCCACATTACCAAGAAAACACAATTTACCTTAAAAGTTACCCGTATTTGCCCTGGCTGGTTTGGCTCAGCAGTTAGAGCATCTGCCTGTGGACCAAAGAGTCGCGGGTTTGATTCCGGTCAAGGGCACGTACCTTGGTTGCAGTTCGTCCGTGGCTCTGGTCAGGTTGTGTGGGAGGCAACCAATCGATGTGTCTCTCTCACATCAATGTTTCTCTCTGTCTCTCTCCCTCTCCCTCCCTCCCACTCTATTTAATGATAAATAGAAAAATATCCTTGGATGAGGAATAAAAAAAGAGAGAGAGAAAAAAAGTTACCCGTACTTCAGTCAAATTGTAACACGCCCTGATGGTGATACAATGCTGACAGAGACAGACACAGTCCCTGCTCCTTTGCAGCTTCCAGTACAGTAAGAATGAGAGATGATTAAAAAATTATAAACGAGCCCTGGCTGGTTTTGCTCAGCAGTTAGAGCATTGGCCCGCAGACCAAAGGGTCTCACGTTTGATTCCCAGTCAGGGTTGTGTGGGAGGCAACTAATCGATGTGTCTCTCTCACGTTTGTGTTTCCCTTTTTCTCTCTCTCCCTCCCTGGCCCCTCTCACTCTATCTAAAAATCAATGGAAAAATATCCTCTGGTGAGGGTTAACAACAACAACAAAAATCATAAACAATAATAAAGTATGGGAAGTACTATAATAGGGTAAACATAGGCTGTTATGAAAAAAACAGCAGGAGGACATAAATGAGAAAAGGTGGAGCTACCAGAAAAATAAATAAAGAAAATCCAAGCGGAAACCTGAACATAAGTACAGGTGTTAATGAGATGAGGAGAGGCAGAGAGGATAAATGTACAAAAAGCCCAGAAGACAGAATATAAGAGTCTGAGGAACTGAAGCTCAGTGGGTGGGGAACAGGATGCAAGGTGGGGGGATGAGAGAACGCAGGAGAAGGAATCAAGGGCTCAGTCATGAAGGGCTTTGGTGAGTCTCTTCAGAAGTCTGGGAGGACAAAGAAGTCTCTGAAGGGATTTTAGCAGGAGGGGAACAGAATTAGATGTGCCTCTTAGCTCATCTGCACTGAAGGGCAGTGGTCTTCAAAGGGATCCCAAGGAGGCAACAAGAATGCCTCAGGGGTCATCTTTGACTTCTCTCTTTCTCTTGCATCCCATCATCCAATCCATCAACAAAGACCAACTGTTCTACCTTCAAATGAATTAGTTCCCTCTACCTTCACTCTTACTACTCTAATCTAAGTTACATCTTCTCTTGCCTGATGACTGTTTACCTAATCAGTCTCCTGCTTTTGCCTTTGTTCCCCATAACCCAGTCCCAATGCCAAAATGATCCTTTAAAAATGTTAAATCTTGTCATTGTTCTCAAAACCCTCCACTGGCCTCTCATCTCCCTAAAAGCTGAAATCCCTCCCTATACGGTAAGGCCCCACATGACTCGGCCCCAGCAACTTCTCTGCCTTCATTTCCTACTTCTCTTTCGTTCATCTACTCTGCTCCAACAATTGGAGCCAGATTGCTGTTCGGTGACACACCCAGCTGGCTCTTGCCAAAATCTGCCATTCCCTCTGGCTGGAATGATCTTCCCCCAGGTATCCACATGGTTCATTCCCTGTAGCAGACTGTATTTTCTAAAAATGGTTCCAAATTGTTTTCTAGTTCCACATGCTCTTCCAGAACCTTGCCACTCTCCCATCAAAAGCCTGGGTGGGCCGCTGAGAGTGCCTACATCAGGGACCCACCAACTTGTCCTGTAAAGAGCGAGATAAATATTTTAGGGTCTTCAGGCCATATAGCCCTTATTACAACTACTCAGCTCTTTCACACTCAGCTGTAGTGTGAAAGCAGCTGCTGACAAGATAAAGGAATGGGCATGACTTTGAAGAGGCAACCCTGCCAAACCCTATCCAAATTGCAGATTTGTAAGCAAAATAATGGTCTTGTTTTAAATTAGAGTCAGCGAAGGACAGCCTTTTGGTCTGTCCTTGCTAAGTGTTACCGGAACAGCATCACGCTCATCCAGTTAGGCACTCTCCATGGCAGCTTCTGCGCTACAGCAACAGAGCCCACAATCTGGGACAGAAACTGTTAAGGCCCACAAAGCCCAGTAATTTACTATCTGGCCCTCTGTGGGAAAATCCTTCCAGCCACTAAAATCCTGTTAAGCCAATAAAGTAGTGATTGGGATGGTTGCTATGAAGCAATAGATAGCAGAAACACTCCCTTACTTCAAGTCTCCACATAAATACTACTTTAAAATAGTATTTTTATCCTATAAATGCCATTAAAAAGTCACTTCCCTAAAAAGTCTTCAGAGAATGAAGCAAGTAAAATATCGCACCACTGTGTACATATGCAGACTGTATACTGGCACACATTACTAGTTTTGTTTGATCGCTAGATTGCAAACTACTCAAGGACTGATAATAACCTTAAACATTCAAGAATACTACACGTGGAACTATGTACTATTCAGGGGCATAATAAATGATGACTGACAAGGATAAAAAGCAAAAACCATCAAACTCAGCATCAGTATGCCAATAAAAATGTCTTCATAATTCATATCACTGAATATGAGACTTGGAAAGAATTAAAGTAGCTTTACTTATTTTTGTATATGTTGACAAGAATTAAATTACTGCATATATGTGGGTAGAATAAGATACAGACTTAGGCAAGACAGATGAATACCTGGATTTGCTAAGGGGAAAAACTGCTTATTCCTAATTTGGGGGGAAATTATATAAGGAAAGTCGATGGCAGGGTCTTTTCATAATTATGCCTTTCACATTAAGGCTGTGTTCATCATAACAAGTCAATTAGATCCTCTGCTGATATTATGAATGAAAACTCAGGTGATACCATTTACTACAGTCAATAAAGATTATAGGAAGAATTATCTGAATCACTATTGCTCCAGGCTAAACTCAAACTTGTTTAGCATAGGGCATGCCACCTAACCATTTGTTGAATGAATGAATAAATGAATGAACAAGAAAACAAACAAAAACAACAGCTGAGGGGTACAGGAGCAGACTTAATTCATCTCTTGATTCAGTCTGTAGTTCTCTTTTTACCTCAAGTAGGCAATAAAGAAACATAGTGACCTCTAAAGTCAACATAAAGATTTAATTTAATTGATAGGCTTTCCTGACACCATAAACCACAAAATTACAGCTTGAACTGTTTTTGAACAGCTGCCAAATATTCCCTCCCTTAAGGGTTTGTAGCTTTCATGAGTACGCATTCAAACATTTACAGGGAAAGCTTGCCAAAAGTTATGCTCAAAGTAAAGAATGACTTTCTACGCTACAGAGAACAGATGTAAGAATTCTTAAATTCTCTTTCTACAAATCAAAAATGTAAGAAATTACATTCCTAATCTGAGAACCATGAACTGGAAAATGCTATCGCTTTTTCATTTCTTAAAGTAAGAATTGTTATATGAATTGTCAGGTTTCTTTTTCTTTTTAAATATATGTACTTTTAAAAAAATATTTTTATTGACTTCAGAGAAAGGAAGGGGAAGGGGGAGAGAGAGATAGAAATATCAGTGATGAGGAAGACATCGATTGGCTGCCTCCTACACACCCCTACTGGGGATTGAGCCAGGGACCTCCTGGTGTTCAACCCCTGAGCCACAATGGCTGGGCTTAAATATTTTTTTAATTTTATGTATTGATTTGAAAGAGAGAGAGGGAGAGAGAAAGAGGAGAGAAAAAGATTGATTTGTTGTTCCACTTATTTATGCATTCATTGGTTTTTGTTGTATGTGCCTTGACTGGGGATTGAACCTACAACCTTGGTGCATCGGGAGGACACTCCAACCAACTGAGCTACCTAGTCAGGGCATAAGTTTTATTTTTCAGAAAACCTGAGATATAAATCAAGATACTCACTATGGGCATTCAACATCTAATAATCCCCCCTTCTCTGTTGTCACTCTCTCACAATAAAACAACTAAAAATTCTGAGTTGTCATTGTTGACCAGACTGCCACAAAGTGGGCTCACAATGCTGTGTACTCTCCTGGTTTGAGTGACCAAATGTCCTTACTGTCCCTCTGGCTAGACTCTTTCCAGAAGTTTGGCTAGAATTTTAATAATTCCCATTTTTCTATTTTCTATTGTTCTATGATTCCTATGTCCTCTCATTACACAACTAAAGGAAATTTCTCAGAAAATTCTCAAAGACTTGGTCAGTTTGCTTCTTTCCTTTCCTTCTCTCCCTCCTTTTTTCCTTTAATAAGCATTTCTTTTATACTATGAATTGTATTACATCTTGATAACTCAAAGTATGAAAATAATCCCTACTTCAGGGAGCTCACAGTCTAACAGGAAATATGAGAATAAACTGTTTCGTGTACTCACAACTATAAACCTACTTTTGCCCCAGCCTGTATAAACCAACAGTGACAAAATTATGCAATCAGTGCTGCTATGGAATGTGTTCAAGATGTTACAGAAAGAGAGGGGAGAGCACCTAATACTCCTGCTTAAGGGGGTTTTGGAGTAGATTTGAACCTGAGTAGACAAGGACAGAAAAGGGAAGTACTGTAGGCAGTAAACATTTCTCATATATTCAATGATTTGATGTTAAGGAAACAAGTGGGCTCTTCCAGTAATGACTGGATAAGAATCCCAGACCTGTGAGATATAAACATAAACTTGAGTCAAGATGAGTGCTTACTTTCATTCTAACGTCAAACCTATTAATGTAACTAAGGGTCATGCATTTCAAATTCTTGCTGAGTCTGTAAAGCATATACAGCACCCTTTTTCCTTTGAATCTTACAAGATGGGCGCCTGAATAGGTTTTTCCCAGCCAATCCTTTACCCTTTACTCTTTGCTCACTGTTCCATTCCACCCTTCTTCATTATTAAAGTAAATAATAAACTGTAAACTTAGAGCTTTATAGATTGTAAAGATCTTCATAATAGTTATTGCTCTTTTAATTGTCAAAAATATCACATATCAAATGTTTCATTTAGGACAGATATACAAAACAGAATCTTTATATTTCATTTAACTTGCTTAAAAGGTATTGACCATATTTTCTTCCTAACAATGCCCAGGTTCACTACATTCTTTTTTGTCGTTGTTAATCCTCACCCGAGGACATTTTTCCATTGAATTCTAGACAGGGGGCGGGGAGAAATCGAGAAAAACATCCATGTGAGAGAGACACACTGATTGGTTGTCTTCCACATGACCCTGACCAGGGCCAGGGATCGAACCTACAACCCAGGTTCGTGCCCTTGACCAGAATAGAACCCTTGACTCTTCCGTTTGTGGGCCGACACTCTAACTGCTGGGCCAAACTGGCCAGGGCGACATTCTTTTTTTTAAATATGTTTTTATTGATTTTAGAGAAGGAGAAAAGAAGGGAGAGGGAAAAAGAAACATCAATCAGCTGCCTCCTGCACGCACCCAGACCAGGGATTGAGCGTACAACCTGGGCATATGTCCTAACTGGAAATCAAACAAGCAACCTGTCGATGCATGAGACAGCACTCAACCAACTGAGCCACACTGGCCAGGGTAGGTTCACTACATTCTTTTTTCTTTTTAATTAATTTTTAGAGAGAGAGAGAGAAAGGGAGAGGGGGAGAGAGATAGAAACATCGATGAGAGAGAACATCTACTGGTGGCCTCCTGCATGCCCCCCACTGGAGGTTTGGCCCACAACCTGGGTATGTGCCCTGACTGGGAGTTGAACCAGTGACCTCTTGGTGCATGGATCAACGCTCAACCACTGAGCCACACCGGCCGGGTGGTTCACTACATTCTTAAGAATAAGATCTATCTACTAGAACATTTCATAAACAGTCACGGAACCCTGGCTAGTGTGGCTCAACAGTTAGAGTGACGGCTGGCGGATCAATGAGTTGCGGGTTCGATTCTGGTCAAGGGCACGTACTTCGGTTGCAGTTTGTCCCCAGCCCTGGTTGGGTCGTATGGGATGCAGCCAGTCTATGTGGCTCTATCACATTGAGGGTTCTCTCTCTCCCTCCTTACCACTCTATCAAATGATAAATAGAAAAATATCCTCAAGAATAAAAAAAAAACAAAACCAGATTTGGATGCCAATATAGAGTACCACAAAAAGATGGGGGAAAGGCAGAGAAACTTCAGCTCTATTTGCAATGCTTTGCCTCATTTAGGAGGAAAGGTATGGATCTGAAGCAATTTGTCAGTGTTGACATGTGTAAGTCCTGGGTGGTGGGCATAAGACTGTTTGTTGTATTGTTCTCTGTTTTATGATACTTCTATTTTTTTCCCACATAAAAATCTCTGAATTAGCAACTAAAAGGGATATAAAAAGCAATTCAGAAACAATTTCACCTGTCACTTATGTTTATTTTCTATTGCATTGCACTCACATGTGAACTTTTTTTATTTAACAAAGCTTACTGCTTTGGGGTACTTAATATCTCTGTGAAATTAATGACCCTATTTCAAAGCACCACTGTTGCTTGTTAAAGGAATAACTGATACTACAGAAGGCAGTGACTCGCTGAAGTGGGATTTTGCAAATGGCAAGAACAAAGCTCTATACCTTCTGGTGGGAATAAATTATAGCCTCACACAAATGTACTTACTAATAAATCAAAGAGGAAATTAAGGGCAGTAAATCTATGACCCAAATGCAGACTAGTTTAAATGGGATGCCTTTCAGAGATTTTCAAAGAATGCCAGCAAATCCTTTTAGATTTGCACCAATAAATAAAATGCTGTGTGGTGCTTAGCCATCAAAATACACACCTATGTGTTTCTTCTTTAAAGGGAAACTTTTGTTGCTGTAATATAAAAGAACCTCCGAGGCAAGGGGAAAAGAAAACAGCAAAGACAGAGCAAGAAAATGGAAAATTACTTTAAAATTTAATGTTCTTCAGAGAGAGGCAAAAGCTATCACAAATATCTCACTTTTAATCCATTCAAATGTTTAAAAGAAAGAAAACACACCAAGTGTGGTATTTGGTTCCAAATGACTATGGGTTTATACTATAGTTAAAATCCTAGTTTTGGACACCATTCTGATTTCACTGAAGAATTTATGCTTTGAAATATCTTACTAATGTAAGAAGATTAAGTGTTATAATCTATTTACATTCTTAGCCATTTTCCCACCCTTTTCTTTAATATTTTTCCATTAATTTGCTGGCATAAGCAGCTGACGTATTATTTTTTGTCATTGCTCTCTCTTGACTATTTTAGTCAGATGCTTGCCTGTGCTTCTCCAAGTCTTATAAATATAACATTTGTGGTCTACTTAATATCTATAGTTTTGTCTTCACCAAAGATGAGGCTGGGTTACACAATATTAACTTCCAGCAAAATGGATTATTTTGGTACTGGGTGACAGTTTAAAGAAATAACTACACTGTACTCTGTAATGATCAAAGTCAAAGAGCCATGTGGCTCAGGCATTTGTCCTTAGAAAAATTACCTTATGCTACTCCCTCCTGGAACAAACCCAGAATGGAATGAGTTTACTGTGATACAGAAATACCACAAGGTCCAATGTGACTCGTATCATTTTGGCGCAGGTCAAAACTAAGTTACATAGTTTTTCTTTGGGGAGACAGTATGCAGGTGAGGGAAAAAAGTGAGCTAGAGGGAAAAATGATCTGGATTTAAACCTCTGAGACTCCCTGCATAACTTTGGACAAGTAACTTAACCTCTGTAAAATATGAGTTAGAGTCCTCCTTACTGGGTTCATGTAAGCAAATATGTGAAAGTAACATACATTAAGTATCTGGCATGCATCTACTAAACATTAATTTCCTTCCCTTAGTATCACATCATAACAGTGTCTTTTGTCTCTATCTTTAAAGTAGTAAAAAAAAAACCTGGCCAGTGTGACTCAGTGGTTGAGTGTCAACCCATGCACCAGGAGGTTGCCGGTTCAATTCCTGGTCAGGGCAAATGCCCAGGTTGTGGGCCAGGAACCCAGTAGGGGGGTGGGAGTGGGGGGGTATAGGAGGCAGCCAATCAATGTTCTGTCTCATGGATGTCTCTCTCTCTCTCTCCCCTCTCCCTTCCTCTCTCTAAAAATCAATAAAGAAAAAATAAATTAAAAATAAATAAATGAATAGTGGCGGGGGGGAGCTTATACCAATTAGTGTCTCAGTCCACCTTGAATCATTTCTGTGCCTCTCATGCCTGATTTCTGATTTGCTCACTTTGGGGCCCTCTGATTTTTATAATCAGAGTTCATGGAGGTCTAAAACATTATCCAGGCTTCTAAGAAGAACTTTCTCTAATGATCTGCAAACCACAACCTACTTATGTACAAGAATCTCTAAAGGGCCTTATAATCAACCATGGTAATTTACTACATTAATTCAAATTCCTTATAAGCAAATTCCTACTGTCTAAAGGATGCATTAAAGTTCCTTTCCCTATTTACTTTGTGAACATGAAAAATTACAGGCCCATCTCACAACATTCCTTGAAATATAAAAACTGTAATCATACTCCTTCCATCAGAATTCCTTCCAAGAAAACAAAGTAATATCTGTTTATCAAAGTGTCTATATATTAATACAAACTCACAACATAGTTTAATAGTAGGAAAAGAAAATGGACTTGGAGGGTCTGTTGTTTACAAGGGTTTGCTATGGGGACCCCTAGGCAAGTTACTAAAACTCTGAGTTTCATGTTTTACATCTGTAAATGAGGATATTATCATATAAACTTGTACATTTAAAAAATTAAATTAAATAATGTAGGGCATGCAAAATAGTCACCACTATCATCATAATAAAATAAAAGAAGACTGAAGAGGAAAAGGAAAACACATACCATGTTCACTGCATCTTGATCAAAAGGGTTCCACTCTATATTCTGAGGATAGTGGGCCAGAACCTTGGATTTGAATGTTCTTCTCAAAGGACTCTGGTCAAAATTTTCACCTATAATAAATTATTAACAGTTAGGTAATATGCAGAATTTTTTCAAAAGCATGTCATAGTTTCATTTTTATTTTGTAGCTATATTGACTGATAATGTTGAAATCTAATTCAATTTCTAGCTCTAACAGTCTTCATTGTAAAATTCTCAATGGACAACTGAAAAAGAACTGTTTAAAACATAAAAGGTCTACATTTAAGACTTTGGAATTTGAATTTTAAAATCCTGGCCAGACAACTGATACTGAAAATCAGATATAATAAAATAATCCTTGCTATAACCTAATTACTATCCTCACTACAATATGTGGTGATAAAAATATCTATTTGGAAACATTTAATTTATTAAAGAAATGTCGTAAATTAAGCTGATCATATCTCTTATTATCCCAAAATTCTGTACATGGACTGACTCAATGGTACAGTGCTCAAAGGAGGCAATGAGCTTAAATTTCCACAAAATTCCTAATAAATGTGACTGCATTTCCAAGCTTTTATAAGTAATAGAATTGACAGAATTAGAAACATCATTACTGAGTTGTCTAGTTCAGTAGACAAAACACACTAAACTCTGAAAAGAAACAATCTATTCTAGGCCAAATTCATCACCTGTCAAAAATCTGGAAAAACAAGTAGGTTGTACTTTGATTGTTGATATATAAGAAAATTTAGTAATAGCTGTCAGTTAGTTCTTTGTCTCCTTGACCAAATTAACTCTCATGAGACCTATTACCTATAAATGCCTTAGTTTCATAAAATATTTTAATGTGGATGAATCTTAAATTCTCAATGTCAAAAAGTTGAGACAGGAATTAGAAGACCTAGGAGCAACATTATTCTGTCTCTTGTGTTTTTTGTACTTTTTAAGTGCAAAACACAAGCTGTTATATCAAAAGATAAATGCCACTTACCAGTATTTGTACAAATAAAAATAGCATAGAGCAATTTATGAGTCACATCTGAATCTGCAGTCAGACTCAGTTTCCATTTTTGGTAAAAATATGAAAAGATGCATATTAAAACACCTTTTAGTGCAAAACGTAACAGATCACAGAAGGAGGGAAAAGGCACACTCTAAAATATTGCTGGAGACTGCAATATAAAATACACAGGAGCTTTTTTGAATAAAGGCACATAATTCAAATAGATTTGCTGGAAGTAACCTATTGTTTCTAATTTCAGCTCTTGGCTAATGATCATTTTCCTTTGGGTTCACTCCTCTTACTTATTTAGGCAAGCACTTCATCCCTGTATCTTTCTACCCCATGTTTCCATCCTGTAAGAAACAGAGCTTTCACTTAGAGATGTCAAACGCCCCCCTAAGGAAAGTTTATCAATTTTTGCATCATGCTTCAAGGGTATGTAAACATCAAAAAGTCAATGGAAAAATGTGAAATGGTCCATAAGTCAATGTGTATGAAGAAAAGAGGGTTCAGAATGGTTGATTTCGGGAAGGGTGAATGACATCTTTAAGCTAATACTGTTTTCTCACGCAAACACTAAGATTTTTAGATTAGTCACTTCTTCATTTTTTTTTTTTAAGGTTACTTTTTTCCTCACCTCAAGACAGATAAAAAATAAAACAGAGACTCCCTCCTGGTTCTAAAAGTCTATCTGCTGACTGTGCTATGACACAGGCAACAGGATAGTCTCAGAAAATACTCAGCCATCAAGAAACACTCTCCTTTGCCCACCCCAAAATACCTTATTATCCGTGAATGAAAAAAAAACATGAAACACTGTGGGGCTAAAGAAATCGCACATACATAGGCTATAACTCCTTGAAACACTTACCTTAATGATTCCTGCCTGAGTTCAGTTAAAATAGAAACATTATCCTCATTCATACATCAGGTTATTAATGGGGCAGAAGATAAATCAGAAAAGTCATGACAGTGCCATTTTTAATACAATTGTTCTGTTAACTAAGGAACACCACACCCTCTTGAGGCCCAATTAATCACCAGAAGAGAAAGAGAAGAAAAACCATCTCCAGAGAAGAAAAATTTCACAAAAACAAAACCCAAAAAACCCATGAAACAGAAACACAAATCTAACAAAAGAAAAACAGAACCACCATCACCACCACCTCTCATTAGACTGCCAAAAAGAGGAGCAAAGATGGGCAAGAGGAAAGATCATTGCTATAATATATACAGCTGTCTTGGCAAATATTATTTTGAAGGAAATTAGGGAAATAAAAAACTATGTAGAAATTTGGGTAACGCTGTTTAAGGATTTAGAAATGAGTGGATATAGCTATTCCTACTATTACCAGCCAGAGGAGAAAATGTGGAGGTGCCTTTGGAGATGTGAGGTGGGGGAAACAACTTTCTCATTTTGAGCCCATGTTTTAATAAACCTCTAACTTAGAATCTGTATTATTAGGACTTAGCAGGAGAAACAAATCAGTCTAAGAATTTGGATTCCCAGGAATTGCAAATTATATATAAGCATCCCTTACTTAACTTAAAATCCACCTTCCAAACATTATCCTGAAATGAACAAGGATTACAAATTTCTGCAAATATTAATATCCCCACTACAATTATATATAGACTTAATTTCAAGTAAAACTGTCAAGTAACCTTCTACTAAACCTAAGCTGCAATGAAGTCTTTTCTCCTAAAAAAAAATAGGACATATCTGCCAAGAGAGCTTAAAGTCTCATTAATAATTTTTTTCCAGGCTTGAAGCAAATGTGGTCTTTAGAAATATTAAGATGCAGATGAGAGAACAAAAATACAAACAATACCTATTTTTTTGCCTGGGCAAAACTAAATAAAGGAACAATTATGATGGGCTTGGGTGAATTAAAATAATGATTTCTAACACCTCAACTTTTTATTTTTACCTGAGGTTGTATTTGCAGCATCTTGGCTCCTGCCATGACGATCTGCTTCTAGCCATTGGTACAAAACTACATAATGTAACAGAAACAAAAAAGCTTTATGAACAAACAAACAAAAAAGCAAAAAGTCAACTTCGAAGAATGGAAAATGAGAATAAAAAAAATTAAACAAAAGCAATTTAACATGAGACATTAACATCAATGGAATGTAACTTAACACCAATAGTATGCATCTTATTAGTATTAAGAAAGCAAAGAAATAGGTAATTGTACATTATTGTAATAAGTGAAATGCTATTTAAACATCTGTAACAATTACTCAAATGGGGAAAGGCACACATTCTTTTCTTTTCTTTTTTTTAAATCCTCACCTGAGGATATTTTTCCATTTATCTTTAGACAGAGTGGGAGGGAGAGAGAGAAAGAAACGATGTGAGAGAGACACCCAACTGTTTGCCTCCCGCAAGACCCCGACCAGGACCAAGGACCGAACCACAACTGAGGTACATGACCAGAATCAAACTTGCAATTCCTTGGTCCTTGGGCCAACGTTCTAATCACTGAGCCAAACCAGCCAGGGCCACATTCTGTTCTTAATGCTAATTTGAGAGAAGTATCAGGAGAAAGTTAATGTTTCTATAGTCAGATATAACAAAATATGATAGTAAGACTAAAAATTATACCCCAACCTCTGCACACCTATCAGAATGGCGGAAGTCCAAAAAACTGACTCGTTGACAAGAATGCAAGTGACAAAACTCTCATAAACTGCTGATGGAAATGCAAAATCGTACAGCCACTTTGGAAGACAGTTTGGCAATTTCTTACAAGGCTAAACATAGTCTCATCATATGATCCTATAGTCTCAGTATAATCAGGAGAAAAACATTAGACAAATTTCAAGAGGAGGAATCTACAATATACCTCACAAATACTTGTCAAAACTGTCATGACCATTAAAAACAAGGAAAGTATGGGAACTGTCATAGCCAAGAGGAGGCTAAGAAGACATAACAATGAACTGTAATGTGGTACACTGGATGGGATCCTCCAACAGAGAAAGGACATTAAACACTAAGGAAATCTGAATAGAGTACAGACTTTCATTAATAATAATTTATCAAAATTGATTCACTAATTGTAACACATGCATCATACTACTAGAAGATGTTATTGATAGGGAAAACTACATGTATAGATGGGGGTGGGGGGTATGGGAACTCTGTATTATCTTCTCCATTTTTCTGAAAATCTAAGACTGCTCTAAAAATCACATCTGTTTTAAAAATTGCATTCCAATATTTAAGGTAAGGACAAAAGCATATAATTATAACCAATATTATAATTGGTTATAATACCTTTACTATGCAAGCATAAGCTGAAGTTTACTTTGTACCAAGATTCCACTTAATGAACTATCCTCTTAAGCACTATTAATTAAGAAGTGTCAACTTTTGGAGGAAAGTTTACTGCAGTGAGGACACAGGCCATGAAAGAATTCACACTAGAACTCTGTAACTGAGCAGCGCTGAAGAGTTCTAAGACTTCTAGATATCTTTTATGGGATACTTAAATGTCTACAACTTTAGACATCTTTAAAGACATGTCAGATTCTCTTTTAAAGAGTCAAATAATGATAATGCAGGGTTCTAATGGCCAGAGAAAGCTGCCTATGAAACTCCTGAACTGACAGAATAAAGAAACCGATTCATTATAAATTATTAAAAGTACCCTGAAATCACCAAGGGAAGTTATTTGGATCTTTAGACTAGACAGCCAGGACTATGAAGTGACATTCATCATCAGGGACAGAGGCCCAAAGCAGACAGACCTCTGGATATCCCCCACACACACCCAGTGTGTGATGTCCCTCCCCGGCTGAGGGTGCCCCACGGGGACACAACTCAGGATGTTCCTCCAGGACACTGCAGGTTTCTGTGAGGCAAACAATTGTCACAATTGGTACTAGCATGAAAGAAGGCGACTGCTCTCATTAAGAAGGCGACTGCTCTCATTAAGTACATAGTACAGGCACTTCCTCTTTCTAGACTGTAGGAACGACGACACCTCATTAGAGTAGAATGGAGTAGTATTAGAACATGACACACACATCTCCCCATTTGGAAAAGCCAGCATGAACTTTACAACCGATGGTAAATATCACTCTCACAAAAATGAGACACAAAGTGGGGAAACTAATCCATTAACTGGTCTAATAGGCTCTTATCTAAAGCCTATTCTGCCCTGATTAAGGTAAAAACTCTTGGCTGTGTTCAGGGTATCACAAGGAATATTTACCAATAGTTCCAATTACTTCAAAGACCGAAGATACTCTCATCACCAGAGTCCCAGTGAAAGCAGCAGATACAGTTGAAAATGTCCCCTTTTTTGATACAAATTATATCTTATTTGTAAATATCTGGTAACTTAAAAGTATAAGAAACTTAAAAAAAAAAAAAAGAGTCCTCATTTCTGATTTCATCAGAGAAAAGAAAAATATGAAAGTCACTCAGGGTCAATTTACTCTGACCAGTTATACAGAGAACTGTACATAAGCAATGATGTTAGAATACAAAGAACACACCTCTTCTCATGGTGGCTGGGAGCAGGAGATCTAGCCTTTGAGTAGCTCCATGCTTCCCCTCAATTGGCACTGGGAGTAGGCACTCTACCCCTAGCTCCAAGCCACAGCAGAGGATTTGTATAGCCTGTGCATGAAGTTGCAGGTAGACAGGGATTTATGAACCTTGGAGCGGTTTCTCAGCCTGGGCAGCCCTGTTACACATTTCTTCACTTATCTCCTCTCTGAACCTTCTCACTCCAAGGGCCCCAGTGAGTTCCCTCCCTCATTATCCATTTCCACCATAAACTACTTCCGATTAGGGTGTTTCTCCTACAAAACAAGGCCAAGTCTCACAATATTTCCCTCTCCACCTACCCCTAAAAAATACCATAAGCTGAGATGCTTTAAAGAAAGTTTGCTGCCCAGGCCGGTTTGGCTCAGCGGTTAGAGCATCAGCCTGCGGTCCAGAGAGACATGGGTTTGGTTCCCACTAAGGGCACGTAACTGGGTTGCGGTTTGTTCCCGGCCCTGGTTGGGTCGTGCGGAAGGCAGCCACTCATGTGTCCCTTTCATGTCGATGTTTCTCTCTTTCCTTCCCACTCTATCTGAACAAAAAATGGAAAAGTGTCCTCGGGTGAGGATAAAAAAAATAATAATAATAAATAAAAAATAAAGTTTGCTGATAGAAAACATGAAAACAGACAGGAAGTTTAAAAAGGTAATTAATCTCTTCTGCCCTGTGCCTTTTCATTTTGTTCCTTTTCTCTCTAAAGAAAAAGTTAAAACACACATGCATGGCACACAGATGTAACAAATGGTGGACCGAAGAATATTCACAGTAACAAAATTCTACCCAATACTTTGATGACAGTGAGGGGAGGAAATGGAGAACTCTGCATGCTCTCATTAAATCCATGCTGAAGGAAAGAAAGGGGATGTGGTGGTGAGGTAACGCTTCGTGTCTATCCACACAAGAACCTGCATGAGCTGGAGCTGGGAGACAGAATCCTGAGCAGCAGTGAGTCCTACAAGACAGGATGATGAGGGAAAGAGAAATGGGGGCGGGGGTACAGGCTGATAACTAAAATGAAGGGGCATGACTGTGATATTCACCTGGACACATGAGCTGTCATTATATCACAGTGAGCTGTCCTCTTCTAAGCAGATCCCCCTAGGAGGAACATATATCATCTATTCTGATGATTCTACCACTGTTGAAATCATCTCTGAGCGGGCAGCATGTAAGTAAGCAGAGACCTGACGAAGTAATGTTCATCGCAGCTAACACACAGAGTTCGCCACATGGCTGTGTTTGTCTACGTGCTCTACATACATCAACTCATTCCATCATCATGGTTACTCTGTGATGTAGGCTCTATTATCATTCTCACATAGAGAAATTGAGGCACAATAAGGTTAACTAACGTGTTCAACGTTATACAACTAAGAAACCCAAACCTAAGCAGTATGACTCTCGAGTCTGTGTTCTTAATTCTACATATGAGGTCACCTCAGGAAAAGGTATGTCAGGCAGGGGAAGTAGCAAATGCAGAATCCCTGAGGCAGTAATGAGCTTGTCATGGCTGAGATGCAGTAAGAGGCCAGCACACTGATGTATCTGAATGAGGGGGTAGAAGATGAGGTCAGAGAGGTAACCAGGAGACAGATAAAACAGGGTGCCTTGTATGCAGTGGTGAGAACTTTTGACTTTATGCTAAGTTATCATGGGAAGTAACTAGAGCATTTTAAACAGAGAAGTGAATTTGTTTTAAAGGGATCACCCTAGCAGCTGAGAGAACAGACCAGTGGGTGAGACCTATTAGAAGGCTTTTGCAATAATCTAGGCAAGAGATGATGGCAGTATGGATTAGGGAAACAGTGTTATTAGGGTGGTGAGAAGTAGTAAGATTCTAAATAATTTTGAAGGCATAAAAGATACGAATTGCTGACAGATTAGAGGCGAGAGAAGTTGTCAAGAACGATATCATGATACTACAATTTTCAATCTGAGCACCCAGATGAATGGTGTAGCTATTTACTGAAAAGAGGAACAACAGAGAAGGAGGGCACTGGGGGGCAGGGTAGGGGTGGTCAGGGAACTGGAATAGGAAGAAATTCAGTTTTGAACACGTTATGTCTGAGATGTCTATTAGATATCCAAGTGAAAATTTTGAGTAAACATTTAGATATATGAATTTAAAATTTTGGGGAAAATCAAGAAATTCAGGGGTGAATATCTAATAGATAGTATTTAACATCCCCGGGTTGGATAAGATCACTCAGGAAATGAACGTGGATGAAGACAGGAAGGCCAGCGTCAGAGCCCTAGAGGACTCACTTAATAAAAAGAGGTTGGGAAGAGGATGAGGAACTGGCAAAAAGGTAAATGAGAAAAAGCAGCCAGTAAAAGAAAACAAAACAAAACAGAAGCATGGCCATCACGGAAGTCAAAGTAAAGAAAACATTTAAGAATGAGGGAGCTGGCCCTGGCCAGTTTGGGTCAGTG